AGGAATTTAGAGCTCTCATGGATCAAGGAAAGTTGCCAGACCTGGGGGAGGGGTGGGAGGTGGAGTGGACACTGAGTCAGCCTCTCCCTCTGGTAGAATTGGGGTGACAAGTCAACACCTCTGTCACACCGCACCATGTAAGAAGTTGCACTTTATGTGGGATTGTGAATTTTTAAAATGAATTTTAAAATGAACAGGGTCTCATTCAATAGCCCTGGAACTCTGGCCTGGAACATGTCTCCTTGAATTCAGATCAGTGTCTACTCTTAGCTGCCATGAACCACCATATTCCACTGGTTGAGGTTTTTTGTTTGTTTGTTTTTAAATAAATTTACTTAAAAAGAAAAATGGAAAAAGATTCAAAACTAGACTACTGTTCCCTTAACTATGTCTACTGTGAATTCAAAGTATCAGAAATCATGTATTATCCCCAAAGGCCATGTCACTACAACATAAGCTAAATCATTGGCATAAACTCTTGAAATGAAGGGAATGAGTGGAAACCAGTGAGAAGAAACCCTGGCAAGGACACAACATGAGCTTGGGTGTCAGGTTCTGATACGACTCTGATCTTATATTGAAGGAGGATAGATATCTGGTCAACCATCCAAGGGGAAAGAAAACAGGTGGCAGGATTGAAGAAGGGAGCACTGCTGCAACCTCCAAAACAAGTCTCCACTTCTCACTCCCAGGAACATGCCCACCCACAGTTCAACATTGTCTCCTCTGGAGGATATGCTGACGGTGGAGAAGTGACAACACGGGAAACCTATAGGAATGGCGCCCACGATGGGGACAATCCAGTACGCAGAGCAACTTTGACATTTCTGCTTTTTGAAGGATCCTTGTTACCACCTGTAGGTTTAAGGTCACTTAGATAGGCGTCACCAATGTAACACTGCTTTAGCATCTCCCTGGCATCAGCTTTCAGTTGCTGTACACCAGCTTGTTCTAGCGGAACCTCTTCCCCACCAGGATGCTCACTGAGGAAGCGGGTGATACCGTAGACTGACCCATGGATCACCATCCATATCTCTTCCCAGGAGTTTCCATTTGTCATCACCTCCAGCCCATAATAGGTGACAGAGGGATTGCAGCCCTCGCCATTTCCACCACTGCAGCTCCAATATGCCAGGCAAGCACTCCATCAACTGAACTGAAACCTCAGCCCTTAAATGTCTTTTTAAAGGTTTAGACAAAGTTGTAAGTCAGGCAGTGGTCAGCACTAAGGAAGGAGGCAGAGGCAAGTGGATATCTGTGTGTTCAAGGCCAGCCAGGCCTACAGAATGCGTTCCAGGACAGCCAGGGCTACACAGAAAAACCCTGCCTCAAAATAAGAAAAAAGTTTAGACAAAGATGTTATCTTCTTCCTTGGACTGTCTTCTTTGTCAGTGACTGGGAAATCTTTAAATTTTATCTGCATAATTCTATCCTACCCTATCTGATTTCAAGCTTGGTTTGTCTGTAGTTTTGTCCTGGGGTCTTACAGTGTATGTTAAATTTAGTAAGAGGAGGATGAACTGCCCCAGGAAGAACCAGGTGGAATGGGAGTGGGGGTGGGGTAAAGGTGCTAGGGACCCCACAGGCCACAATTACTGGAGTTTCTTCCTCTGTTGCAAGCAGGACAGTGCTTGTCTCTAGGCTTGTCTATGATGGAGTCAGCGTCATCAAAGCTCTCAGTTCAGACTTAACTTCCTACATCTTAGCATTTTCACTTGATCCTATGAGCAGGAGTGACAGTCAAAGTATTTAACCAGTACAACCCAGGGACCCCAACTGGTCTGACAGAAATATAGTCTAAAAGAGACACCATGTCTGTCAATCTTACTTTTGAAACAGCGGACCCCAAAGTAGCAGCAATTGCCCAGGAATTCCATACTGTGAGAAAGAAAGGGGGAATCTTCTGGAAAAAGATTTCATAGAGTTCTAACAACTTGACAGCACACTTTACAGGCAGAGACTGGAGCACACATGGTGGGCAGGACCACACCATACCTTTACTGGAAGAGCTTAGGTGTTTGTCTCCTTGGCCCGCTATTTAAACTTCAGGACCCTGAAGACAAACTGAGAGTTCACTGGTTCTCTCCGCCCCACTTTCCAATGTGGTCAAGTTGAGAATATCTTTTTTCTGCTTCCTAATATATTTGTATTGTTTTGCTTTGAAACAGGGTCTCACTCTGGCTGTCCTAGAACTCACTCTGTAGGTCAGGCTGGCCTCTATCTCACAGAGACCTGCCTGCCTCTGTCTCCAGCATGGTGGAATTAAAGATATTCACCACTACACCAGCTCTGCTTTTCACTTATTTGTTTCGTTTTGTTTTGTTTTCCAAGACAGGATTTCTTAGTGTAGCCCTGGCTGTCCTGAAACTTGCTCTGCAGAGCCTCAAACTTAGAGATCATACTGACATTGCCTTTGCTTCCTGAGTGCTGGGATTAAAAGTATAAACCACCACTGCCAGGCCTGCTTTTCACTTTTAATTTGACTTTTAAAATTGGCCTACTGAGGCTGGCTAGACCTAAGTACATGAGCTGGGACACAAGTTGGCACCCTAAGTTCCATAACTGTATCACCCAGTTAAGAAGTGTGTCAAATACAACCAGCTTTCCTGCCTGACAGGAGAGCCACAGAGACTCTTGCTCATCTAAAGCCCACATGAGTTAGAAAAAGAACACCGAGCCACTCGAGCCACTCACAGAACTGTTAAGGCCAGCACTCAGGAAGCAGGGACAAAAGAATCACAAGTTTGAGGCCAGCTTGGGCTGCACAGTTTAAGACCAGCCTGGGGCTGCACCCTGAGGATCCTGTCTTAACAGAAGAAAACAATCCTGCAAGAGTTTAGTGGATAAAGGTCTGCCGATAAACCTGATGACCTGAGTTCAATCCCAGGGCCCCATGAAGAGGGAAAGGAGAACCAGTTCCTGCAAATTGTCCTCTAACCTACATGGGTGCACTATGGCAATGGAATACCCCACTATTACTGTGCAGGGGTCTTTTCTGTGCCAGTTAAAGAATTTGAAGGCAGGAAGGCTCAAGCACAACAGGGAGCAGCTTAGCAAATCTCAAACAGCAAACAGAATTACCTGGTAAAGACTTTTGCTGGACATAGAGGCACACACCTTGAATCCCAGCACTCAAGAGTCAGAAGCAGGTGGATCTTTGGGAGTTTGAGGCCAGCCTCGTCTACAGAGAGAGTTCCAGGACAGCCAAGGCTCCACAGAAAAATCCTATCTTGAAAAAAAAAAAAAAAAACAAAGACAAAACAACAACAAAAGAATGAAAGACTTTTACTATCCAGCAAGGCACACAGGAAAAAAAAAACCCTCTGAAAAACAGGAGGACGCCAGTCTCTTCCTTGGGGGGTGGAAGTGGGTAAATGAGGGGGTGAGGGACAGGAATGGGGAGAGATGAGTTTGGGGTGTGGCTAAGGGTCTTTGAGAGGGTCTTCCTCTCCCAGTTAAGGGTTGGTCATTTTGAACAAAGACAAGAAAACTGTTCACCAGTTTGGAGTAAACACACCCTAGTCAAGCTTTGAACTTGTCAGACCGGTCCACAGGCAGGAGGCCCTCCAAGGAGGATAAAAAGCCCCTTAGGCCTTTGTGTTTTTCTCCAGGTTTTGGTCTTAGGTCCAAATGGTGAAGAAGCCAGTCATCTTGGAAGTTCAGCATGTTCCTTTTCTATTCATGTCCCCTCTCCCTGTCAGCCTGTCAGGGAATTTACCTCACATTCTAGAAATGACAGCACAAAGGTTAGGAGTTAATATCTTTCTTGGCTTCATACAGTTCAGGCCCAACCTAGACCATATGAGATCCTATCTCAAAACAACAGGCTGTCATTCTTGTAACACTATTAAGTAATGACTTAGTGTTCCTGAATCTCAAAGAGTAATCTGCAAGGAATTTGAAAACATTGAGAAACTTGCTCTTTTTCATTGTATGCTATAATTCTAAAATGTATTATTGTTGCTGAATAAATGTACTTTTTATTTTGTAACATAAAAGAACAACAGGCTGGAGAGATGGCTTTCGGTTAAAGAGCATTGGCTGGTCTTCCATGGAACATGGGTTTGATTCCCAGCACCTACATGTTGGCTTAAAACCGCCAATTCCAGTCCAAGGAGATCTGACATATCCTTCTGACCACCTCATGCTTCAGACATATATGTGATGCACAAACATACATGCAGACTAAATACCCATACACACAATAACAGCACTATGACAGTCCTGTATGCATATACAAAACCAAAGCCCATAGTCAGACATGGTTACTCATGCCTATAGTCTCAGTACTTGGGAGGCTGAAGCAGGATTACTGTGAGTTTGAGACCAGCCTGGGCTACACAATGAGTTCTAGCCAGCTTAAAATACAGTGACTCAAAAACAAACCAAAACAAAAAGGAGACTGAGGAGGAGGAAGAGGATATGAAAGGCTCTTGTGACAGAGAACTGGGAGGGGCTAGAGGAAAAACTTGGATACTAAATAGTTTCCCCAAAGATTGATGTAGAACGTTAGTGCTCTGTTATATTCAAAACCTGCTGACCCACTAAACCATTTGGCAGATTCAATTCTCCTGGGGTGCTAAGTGTACTCAACTACAGTAAAAGAAAGTACAGAATCAGAAGAACCCAGCTGCCCTGGGAAATGGTAAGTCCTTAATATCTTTCTAGAACTTTCTCCACATCTACTCTGCAATAATCTACTTCCTACCAGGAGAAGCTAAATTCTCTTGTATTTTATGGAAATGCTGTGTGGCTAACTAACGCCACTTGAGAGAAGCCTACCTGGGGAAGGGATCTAACAAGCTATCTTTTGCTTGTCACATCTTCTGTCCTTCTCTGAATCTTATATCACTTAATGCTTTATTATTATAGAAACTGAGGCATTAGGCATTAATTCCCCAACAGGTGCCAAGAACTTTCTAGTTCTTGTTCTGAAATCTATGCTCCTTTCTCTGCTCTTCTTTTCTTAGGCTTCAAAGACACCATTTACCACCCCATAATTCAAGAAAGACAGCTCAAATGATATGTTTTTATTTTTTGGGGAAAAAAAGACATGCAACACCCATCCCTAACAAACTAAATGCTTGAAATACAGAATAAAAAGGGAATCCAAACCATCTTGATGAGACACAAATATGATTTCACAAAGCTGAAAAATCTTTTACAAAGCTTCTGTTGTATAAATATAGTCAGTCTTATCTTTAATATAGTTGGACCAAAAAAAAAAGTTTTGATGGCATAAGAAATCCCCTGGGCCTTGGATATACCACAATCTTCATATGTATTCCCAGCCAAATACAGGTGATAACTAAATACAGGATTAAATAGTGTATTCTAGGACTCTACATATCCAAATGAAGATTAAACACAATCTCTTGAGCCAACTCTATGGCCCTAAAGTTTGTGCAAACTACCACAGTCCTGGCTCAAAGACTAAAGTGGTTTTCCCTTGCAGACCTAGTGTATGTGTTCTGAACTGTATGTTCATGGTCAATGTGTAGCTCAGTGGTAGAACACTTTGCTTAGCATGTGAGAAAGCCCGGGTTTCATCTTCAGCACAGAAAACTAAAATTGATATGCCCAAAGTCACTGAATTGTATGCTTTGAAAGGGTGACTTATGGAGTGTGTGAATTATGTGTTAGTAGAGATCCTGAAATTATCTGAAGTCGTTGAGCTGCTAGAGAAGCAGCAGGTGAGGCTTTTCCTTTTGGAACCATCCCAGTAAAGAGTAGGGGGACAGATCCAGAAAGATGCTATCATTGAATCAGTGCTGTTTGAGGATGCTTGGGAGGAGGAGCACTGGATTCCAGGATGTCAGAATAAAGATGTCCAAATAGACAAACTTTCCCCATGTCTTCCAGAACAGTCTAAGTATCTCTTGTGGTCTTCATCACAGAAAGAAGTTATTCCTTGGGAAGCAGACACCCAAGAGGCTGCAGGAGACTGGCTGTGAGCTCATGGCCTGAATGTACATAGCCAGTCAAGAATATTCCAGTATGGTCAAGGTTCTGAGAGCCACAAAATGAAGGACAACTTGGACACCCAAAGAAGAGCTTCTAGGTTTGGCTGTCTATCATTGATGCCTTTGATGGCCAAAAGTCCTGGCATAGCTTTATATCTTTCTGATTCTTAGAAACCATCACCAGGGCAGCCATGACTAATCAGATGAACAAGCCACTATGTGACTCACAAACCACTCAGAAATGTCTCTCTGTCCTATACCAAACACCTATCACTGGGGAAAGGGCACAGGTGAAGACCATAAGTAACTTAGGCTTGACCAAGAGATGTCTATTCTGGCATGGAATGAAAGAGGATCAATTCCCAGTAGTAGGGGAAAAATTAACTGGAAATTATTCTCTGGTTTTTCTATTCCAGGTTTTTCACCGATTATAGCTGGAGTAAAAGGGAAATGGGAAGAGGAATCCCACTCTACTTGCAAGCTGGTACCTATTCTATCTTTCAGAGGAGTGTCACCAGAAATGAAGGCCAGGAGTCTTTTAGATATTTAGTGCACAAATGAAATGGGGATGGGCCAGAGCCAGGACAGAGGCTTAGGGGCAACAAATGTCCCAGCTGGGTGCAGGCCTTGTAAGACATCTCTACTTTCCCTCCCTGAAGATTGGTTTGTATCTGCCTGACACTCAGCTCCTTTCTGGTCAGTCTAGAAGTTTTTAATTTTGTGACCTAGCAAGTAAGTTAAAGTCAGAAATATATCATGACCATAGCTGGTTCATGCCACAGTGGGCTGGAGTCTAAGACTGCCCCATTAAACCTCAGCCCCCTGTGTTCTTTCTAAATAAGATGCTCCATCCCATGATGCTCTAGGCCTCTAGGACTGAGGCACTCACAGATAGGGGTGTTCCTCACTGGCAAGTGTTTATTACCTTCCAGTAAAGCCAATAGAAGATAGAGCTAGACTTACCTGGTTCTTTCTAATGTCATAAAGAGATGGGAGATTTGACAAAAACAAGCATGGGGAATAGCTCTATTAGGACTTTGGGCAAGTTCTTGATAAATAACTTCCTGCCTTTAGTGAGAATATTTATCATTTAAAGAGAAAGAAATGAGGTATCCGGTTATAAAATCGAATGAACACCCCCCCCTTTTCTTGCCTTTCTTTGTGTTTTCCAGTCTCTCTTACACAGGCTTCACCCACCTTGCCCTCAGACTGTCCACTGCCCCCTACTCAAACTCATTACCCAGGAGAAATGAGTTGAGGCTGCCTTGACGACCGCCCTCGGGCCACAGCCTCCCTTCTAAAGACATCATGAGCTGAAAGCCTTCATCAGAAAACCTCCTCCCTCCCTCAAACAGGAGGCCAGAAGTCAATTCTGTACTTAAAAAGAACTGCTTTTTAAAACTAAGAATTCTGGGCAGATGAGGGTATGGATCCCGTGGGTGGACTGTCTTAGAAAACAAGATGTAAGCAAGGAAACAATACACGAAGTGTGGGTATATTTGGTAGGTTTGAGGCAAGTGGAGAGAAAGGTTTGGGTACTCTGTAAAAAACAAGGGTCTGAAATCCAAACTTCTGATAAGGCCACAATGAAGAGATTCCCAGCAGCGGGGAGGGCAGGATGCTGGCACGTAAATTGCCACAGGCCTGCAGGGTGGTGTGCCCAGGAGAGGAGGCAGGCGAGGCAGGAGGGGGCGCCTCTTACAGGTCCATGTCTGGGCCTCCTGAAGACGTCTTCAGCGGCACCGAGTCAAATCCATCAGGAGTCCTCTGAAAGAGAGACGGTGACAGGAGCTGCCTGCTGCACAGGGGCAAATTAAGGGGACAAAGAAGAGAAATGGAAAATGGGTGACAGAGGAACCCTCTAGACTTCCTGCTTCCGGTAGTTTTTGTGGGAGCATAGGAACATATTCTCTGTTCCTTCCTGCTCTCTGCAGATGCAGTCAGAGAATGTGAGAATTATAATTCCTGGTTTGCGTCTTTGCTGAGTTCTAGAAGTCCCAGTTAGCCCTAAGATGTCTCCAGGGTTATCTCTCACTGGTGGGAGGAAAAAAACAAAAACAGAAACAAAAATCAAGGCCCACGTGGGCCAAGGGAGTCACCCTGACAAGTCAGCACAAAGGAAATGAGAGGCAGGCATTGAACAGACTGCCAACCCCTTCTTCAGCAGGCTCCATGCCCTCTCCGAGCCTCTGGTGCCCTCCTCATTCACACCTGTTTCAAAGACTCCCTTGTGCAGTAGTGGATGCTCAGCTCAGGAGAAACTGTTTGGATGCCCTCTGCTGGCCCTGCGCCCAGAGACAGTGGTGTCTGTGTTGCATTTATGAGCTTCACACTCACGCACACACCCACACAGAGCCAGCCCGCCCAGTTCAGAATTACAGAGCAGCTGCAGTTTACGTTTGGCTGTGACTCAGTCTCTCAGGACTGGGCCCACAAACCTTGGGGATAGCACCCTCCGAGGCCCTGGTATCTATCAGAAATCAAACCTCGAGATGGCCTCCTCTTCTTTCAAAGGAAAAAAGGGAGA